TTTTTTTTTTTTTTTTTTTTGTGTTGTGCTGTAAGTGTGCGTTTGTGTTTTTTCTCCATTTTAGAAGTGTTGATTCCCATGTTGGAAAGTTTGTATTCTCCCGTGGGAGAGTGAGTATTCTCCTCTTTGGGAGTATTTTGTGTTTTTGTTGTATTGTGTTGTGGCATTTAGACTACCCTTGGTATGCATCCTTTTTCAAGCTAGTGGGCCAGTTTTGAGTGCGTGTTCAATAATTAATTCCATTGTTTCGAAAAAAATAAAATTAGCATTTATTGATTTAATAAAAAATATTATTATGATATTAATTGAATTAATTGAAGTTTTTTTCTTCTTCGGCCATCTCACTGACGCCACCGTGCGTCGTCTGCTCTATGAGTGTTGGATTTCAAAAAATCATATATCATTTTGAAGCTCTCAAGTCGGCTTTTCTAGAGGCATGTTTCATTTCATCATTATTCTACTTCAAACTTTGTTAAATCACTAATTTAATTTTGAGAAAAATAAAGATTTACTCATTAAACTTTGTCGAAATGTAACCACAAATCTGGTCGTTATATTTTCTTGAAATGTCAATCGGACTTTCAGTTGTCGGAAGTATGTTGTTCAAACTTTAAATTATCGACGAATACTTCAAAGAAATTTGAAACTTATAATATTTAAAGTTAACTTATAATGTATAATATTTTAAAATATTGTTGACATTTGATATGTTGATGTATGGAATTTTAGTTAACGGGTGGGAAAACTCCCTAAGTAAAAACGAGAATTTTGTATACTAAATGAGGTTGGATGACCTTTTTTATATATTGTTAACTCGGGTATTTTTATATACGCAGAGCTATTTTTTTGTAAGATAATATTTCTTCTCCATGTTACAATAAATGAGGGGTATTTATAATACAAAACTCATGGGCACTGTTCACGATGTTAGTACATCTGCATTTAATTCAATTTGATAGCGACATTCGACTCTGCCACGCGGGACCCACTCCCAATGATCACCTTCAACAGTATGATGGAAATGCGTCATGTCAACATTTAATACGTTTTCATAGGTCGACCTTTGGAGCATAAAGGTTGGTGCTTGTGGTAGAGAAATCGAGTACTCAGCATAGATCATCATTCAATGCTGAGTTGATTAACTATATATGGGCGTCGAGCTAAATAGCTTAATTAGTCCAACCTTCGAGTACGGATGGAGATTGTCTTTATATATGCCATGTGTCAGATGATAACGAGGTCGTCAGCTCGGATGTCAACATACAGATCCCCCGAGCTCGGGTGGTCCGCCACTTGGTTAGGTCATATGAGATCGCTGACTTAACAAATTAGCCGAACTGATTATATGAGCCAAATGTCTTATGCGAAATTTGAACTTTTTGAAACAAATTAATTCCACAAACTAGAGATCGGTTTTGCTATGAAGCCAACAGTTGGCTCCATAGTGGAGCCAACCTTCTATATACAACAAGTAATCCTACCATATTCGCTGATTAATTAAATAACACTAATATAATTTTATTAATATGGTAGGTTTACTTGTTGTATATAAAAGGTTGGCTCCACTGTGGAGCCAACTGTTGGCTTCATAGCAAAACCGAGTTAGAGACATCTTTATGAAAAGGTATTTCGAACAGACCTTTAGGATCCATGTGCTTTGGTTTTTGCGAAATAGGAAGAACATTAAAAGTAAAACTTTACTAATGGTTTTCTCTTCCAAATGGCTCTTCATATCGTGACGTGGCACCGTTTCATTGGCCAGTAAGTATCTATATGGCCTCTTTTTGACTAAATTTTTTATTTTTTAAAATTTCTGAACATCTTCTTACCTAGAGTGTTTCATCCGCCATTTTTGCAATTCTTAAAGCTTCAACTTTGGGTAAGATTTTTTTTTTTTTTTTTCAGTTCTTATATTTATAATAAATTCAATGTCTTCGCCACAAGAAACTACTGGTACATTGTCATCGTCGCACGCAGTGGTGACCTGGGAGTCTTCATTGCCACGCGAGTACTCGTGACATCTTTGTCACTGCCCGAGACGACCGACGCGATGTCATCACACAACAACGTGGACATGGAATTGGTCCAGAGGCCTTTCCGGGGGGATACACGGGACAGAGAAAGGCTGCCCCTGATAAGGGGTGATACTCAGGTGGAAGCCATAGAGGCCACCGCCGTCGTGCTAAATTACTTTTGGTGTGGACCTGGCCGTGTATGGCCTGGAGCTATCTATTGAGCCATGTGTAATAGGGTCAGCATAATAAAAAACGTCGAGATCGTCAAATTGAGAGATTCAGTTCGGGTTTTCTCAAATGTTTGGATGTTCACGCCTTACCTTGGGGAACGAATCTATAGTTCACCACTGGGGTGTATCGGAGTTTTTAAGCAGAGCATGGTATCCGTGCTCATGTTCTCCCTCATCGACATCATTACCAAATATGTAAAAGAGCTCTACCTCGACTTCGATCAGATTATGCCAAATGTTTGGGCTAAGATAATCAGTCTGGTGGTTATGTTCCATCAAAAAGGATGGCCATACCCGATCCCCGAGGAGATCTGAGGCAACTTTTCTTTTAAGGAGACCATTAAGAAGTCAAGTTGTTATTAATGTCAGTCAGACTGGGTGTTTACATGGAGTTATTCACCCGACTTCCGAATACACTGCATGGTTTTCGAAAGGAATGGTTTAGTGTTGGGAGGGAGTGACGGACCCATGGTGCAGCTGCGATCGGAGATGGGGACAATGCGTTGTCCTTGCCAACCAAATTTTAACGATGAACTGTAAGTATTTTCACTTAATCGAATTTCGCTTTCTAATCATTCTTGTTTTGTGCTAACAAGTTGGCCTTTTCTGTTTTCAGTATGCGCAGCAGTTCCCGAGCTCGATCAGATCTTTGTAGATCAATTGGATCACTTGCTCGAGAGGAACTCCGACGACTGTTATTAGAAAGATCTTGTTAAGGACGAACTCTTGTGCAAGTACGAGTTGAGTCCAGACTTTGTAGACAACAATTTCGAACCAGGTCAGATTTCTCTATTTCGCCAATTCTGGTACTCCTTTTGCTTTTATTATTCTAGCTATCGAG